GTGTGTGTGTGTGTGTGTGTGTGTGTGTGTGTGTGTGTGTGTGTGTGCCTCCAGCCACTCTCCTCTGTCCCCCTCAGCTGGGGTGGGGCGCCCTCCCCAGGAAGTCCTTTCACAAAGAGCCCGGCCGGCCCTTCCTTCCTGCCCCTCTTCCCACCCTCCACCCTCTGTACTCAGGGCCTTTCCAGCCTCCAGCTCAGCCCTGCTCAGCCCTAGCTCAAGGGCAGGAACCTAACCCAGTTCTCCTTCACCATTTTACACAAACCCCCTACCACCTTCACTTTCTGACCCACTTGGCTAAGGCCCTGCCTCTCCAGGGACCTTAGGGGGAAAAGTCTAAGCCCCTCATTTTACAAAACAGGAAAAGATGATGTGAAATGACTTGCCCAGCGTTACATAGCTAGTACATGTCTACACGTGGGATTTGAACTCAGGTGTTCTGGTTTAATCCAGTATTCTTCTCAATCATGCCCCATTGGAAGTTATGTGGATACTACCACCCCCAACCCACACCCACCCACCCACATACATACACACATACACACACACACACACACACACACACACACACACACACACACTCTACATTGAGATGATGGATGGTACAAAGAAAAAATGCTAGATTTGTGGTCAGAGGACATGGGTTCAAATCCTAGTCCTTCCTCTTAGTACTGTTAGTGGCAAGCCCCTGGCCATGTCACTTGTCTCTGGGCCTCAGTTTCCTCTTCTATAAAATGAGAAGGTTAAATTAGGTGACCTCTTGGGCCCCTTGGAGTCCTGAATCTGTACATATGCCAAAGACATCAGCATCCCCCAGGACTTTCCCAAACACTACATGTCCATTTTCTTAGGGGCTTACTGGAGACACCCTCTCACTCCCCACCTAATGACTCAAAGGGCAGTAATTCTACTCCAGGAAGGTGAGGCAGGGCGGCCTGTGACGGAGCAGGAAGGAAAGGGAACAGCAGAGCCTCGTAAGGCTCCTCATTCTGCCTCCGTGGAGGGCATGTTCCAGCGCTGTGTCGTGAAGGTCCTGATGCCCCTCATCCCACCCGGCCATCTCCAAAGCCCCTGAGGAGCTCAGGGAAAAGGAGACTCTCCAGAGGGGATGGTAGCTACCTACCTACCTGTGGGACATTTTGTATAACTTTAAGGTTTGCAAAGCTGTTTTCATACATGACTTTTTGAAGTAGGTAATATGACAGAGTGGATAAAGTGCAGTGCCTGGAGTCACAAAGACTCATCTTCATGAGTTCCAATCTGGCCTCAGACACTTACTAGCTGTGTGACCCTGGGCAAGTCACTTCACCCTGCATGCCTTAGTTTTCTCATCTGTAAAATGAGCTAGAGAAGGAAATGGCAAACACTCTAATATCTTTGCTGAGAAAACCCCAAATGGGGTCACAAAGAGTGGGGCATGCCTGAAACAACTCAACAACAACAAATATTGCCATCATCATTTTACAGATGAGGAAATGGTAGAGGTCAAATGACTGGGCCAGGGTCAGTCACCCTGCTGGTGAGTGTTGGTGCTGGCCTCACAATCTGGGTCTTCCAATACCAAGTTCAGTGTTCTTTCCACAGCCCAGAAATTATCCCCGACCTACCCTTCCAATCTGCCAACCTTCAACATAGTTGCTTGAAATCCTACCATCTACCCTCCTGCCCCTTGGTTTCAACATTGGACCCTGACTCCTTTCGGGGAGAATAATGACATCTCATCACAAATTTAGACCTGGAAGCATCTCAAAGACCATCTAGGGTCACCCCCTCATTTCAAAGGTGCCAAACAAGGTCATCCTTCTCAGTACCAGAACCAGGATTTAATGACCAGTCCTCCAGAAGGAATACATTCAGTTCTTGACCCACCCCCTCCTTCCCCCCACCTGGATATTTGTGAATTTATCAATATGCTAAGTCTCTATTATGTGCTGGGTACTGGGAAGCTGTTCCTGCCTTCAAGGAGGTTACATTCTCCTGAGGGACAGGGGATGGGGGGGGCAGCAGGATAAAATATGTGCACAGAGAAGAGGACAATTAAGACTTCCCCACTCCAGAGCGGTCCCAACGTGGAATGAGCTGGGTGGGGCAGGTTCCCCTTCCTTGGGGGTCTTCAAGCAGAGGCTGGATGGCCACCTGTCATAGAGAAGATTCCTTCGGCGTTTTATTGTACTCCGATGGACGCTGGGGTCTCTTCCAATGCTCAAAGTCTGTGATTCTGATTCTAAAGTAAATACAAGGTTTTTTGAGAAAAGAAAGTGCTAACAGTGTGGAGGAGGAGGCTCAGATAAGCTCCTTGGGGAGGGGGAGGGGAAGGGCAAAAGAGACAAGTCCTCACACCTTGTGGGGTGGCCCTACCTGGATTCCCTCAGTCAGCACCTGGTGACTTATGAAGGGGCTGAAAAGAAACTAGGGGAGTATTGAGCCCATCAAACGAAGGCTCCGGTTGTGTTCCCCTCCCCCTACTCCCTCTCCTTCCTCCAGGCTGCCAGCTGGGGCCAGTCTGTCCCCCATGGCTGGGTGGGATGATTAATTCAGGACCTAATTGGAACCATGTGGGTGGAGGGGTGGGGGGGTGGGGGGAGAGGAGAGGGGGAAAGGCTCCCAGGCCATTAAACCAGTCGTTCCCCTGATCTGAAACTCCCCACTCCATCCCCTCCTCCCCTCTCCTGTCTCACTATTTGTCTCTGCATCTCTCCCTCTGTCCTTTCTTTCTTCCTTCCTTCCTCCCCACCAGACTCAGCACCTCCCCTCCTAACAGCTACTTGCCCATCCCCCTCTCTGTCGTAGACTCTCGGAATGTCAGATTTGGAAGAAACTTTAGAAATCATTTAGGACGGAGTTTCTTAATATGAGGTCTGCAAACTCTGGGTGTGTGTTTTGATAACTGTATTTAAGTATAATTAGTTTAATCCCTTGTAACGTATTTTCATGTTATGCATTGAAGAACATGTATTGGAGAAAGGCTCTCTGTAGGCTTCACCAGACTGCCACAGGGCTCCACCACACCCCCGAGTTAGCCCAGCTCACTCCTTTTACAGCTGAGGAAACTGAGTCTGTGAAAGGGAGAGGGATTTGCCCACAGTCACCCAAGGAGTTAGTGGGAAAGCCAGTTCTGAAGCTCAGAGGGCTCGGTCCCACGTGGCCCATCTCTACGTGTCTCCTTCTGGACTCCCGACATCTTGCCTCTTTCTCTTCCCTCTCCGTGCCCACCCTTCCCTGGCTCTTCACGCGTCAAACAAGCAGGAAGAAACCCAAGTAGAGAAGCAGAAGCCGTCTGCTCACGATCCTCCTCTGCTCAACAGTCTTCACTGGCTCCCTAGCAGGCTTTCTCGTTGCCCGGCATTCAAGGCCTCCCAGTTTGCTACCACCCTGTTTCCAGTTTTATCTCATATAAAATCCAGCCAAACTGGACCGTTGATATCCCCCAAACATGACCCCATGTCTTTGCCTCAGCCCTTCCCCTTCTCCACCAGGCTTTACATGCCCACTCACATTTCACTGCCTTCCTGGGGCCTCCGTTGGTGGAGAAGGCCCTCCCTCCTCAGGGTCCTGAAGAGGCCTGAACTGGGCCTTTGTCTAATGCCCTCCCTGGTAGCATCAGAGAGCCAAGGTTAGAGCATTAGACGGGGGTTGGGGTGGGGGTTGGAATCATCTGTGTTGGAATCCCACCCCCCATAAACACATGCCACTTAAATTGATAGCATGACCGTGGTGGCACTGGACAGGAAAATGGGTTTAGAGTCAGACCTCGGAGGACCAGGGTTCAAATCCAGCCTCGGACACGAAACACTCACTAGCTGTGTGACCCAGGGCAAGTCACTTAATCTCTGTCTCAGTTTCCACATCTGTAAAATGAGAGAGTTGTACTCTACATAATCAGACCTTTGATTTTTTTTTGATGGAGGGAACTCCCAGTGACAAATTCACTATAAAATTGGCCTCTGGTCTGCAAATTATAGTCTTTTTTTTTTTGCAAATTATAGTCTTAGAGTTATCTGGGGACATTGACAGTCTAGGTGACTTATGCAAGATCACACAGCCAGTATGGAGCCAAGACTTGAATCCAGATCAGGCAAAACCAGCTCTTTCTACCATCCTGCTTCTCTTGGTACCTCCCAGCATACTACTAGACTAAATTCTATAAGGTTAATGACTGAAGTTAGCTAGGTATTTTTTCAATTTCAACGTCTAGTACAGGGCACATAGCGGATGCCTGATGAGCATTTGTTGAATTGAACTGAATTGAATTGAAAACAAGGAGTCCCATGTGATAGCCCACACACCTGTGATCCAGTCCCCTGTTACTGGGGAGGCTGATTGCTGGAGCTCAAGAGTTCTGAGCTAGAGTAGGCTAAGCCAATCCAGTGAATTCACTAAGTCTGGCACCAGTTTGAGGAGGCCTTGGGAGTACAGAGCCACCAAGCTACCCGAGGAGGAGTGAACTAGCCCAAGTCAAAAAGGAAACTGGTCAGCAGGGGATCAGGCCCCTGAGTGGTCACCACGCCTCCAGTCTAGGAGAGTGAAGGAGACCCAATCTCCCTAAAAAAAGGAAAAAAAAAAGATGGGATGGTGCTGGAACTCCATAAGAAAGAAACCAAACAATCCACAAGTCTTTATGAAACCCTAATTATATCCCAGGTACTAGATTTGGGATTCTTAATTGTCCATGGATAGTTTTCAGAGGGTCCATGAACTAAGACAGGAAAAATTACCTCTTTATTCCGATATGTCTTTGTAATCCTATGGATTTTATGCACTTAAAAACATTCTTGGGAAAAGGGATCCGTAGACTTCATCCAGCTGCCGGGGGGGCCATGACACAAAGAGGGTTCAGAACCTCTGGACTGGAAGAAAAGAGGGATGAATAGGGGCCAGCCAAGGACTCCCAAGTATTGATTTCTACCAAAGGGATGAGTTAGGAGTGATGGGTGGTGTAGAGGCACTTTCAGGGGAAAAGCCTTGATAAATGGAGCTGTCCAAAAGTGAAGTGAGCCTGCCCAGAGAGCCGGGGAGCTCCCCTTGACTGACCAACTTGGCAGGTATGGAGTGGAGGGCACTTTTTCAGGCATGGATAAGACTGGATGTCCACTGGTGGGGGGGGGGGTCCCTTCCAGCTCTTAATTTCTGTGATTCTCTGTGTTTCTGTGTGTCTGGAGAAGACAAATCCGCAGGTCTCATTCCCCCACAACTGAATCGCTCCCCTTCTGTCCTCTCCCCATTCTTTAATCTTCTCCCTCTCTTTCCTTCTCTTCCTTATCTTCCTTGAACCCCAGGGTGGGTGGGAGCCTCCTCACAGCCTGGTCTAGAAACAAAGAGCTCCTCGTTTACCTGCGGCTTCCCAGGGAAAGGTTTTGATTTTATAATGAAAAGCCAAGAGAGCCAGGGCTAGAGTCCAGGAAGGCCCTCTTCCTCCGTCCCACATTGTCTCCTGTCCCACCCCGTTCTGGCTCCGTCTCCTCGTCTCCTCGGCTGGAGTGCCTGTCTAGGGAGTTAGATCACGGCGTGTCAGAACTGGGAAGGACCTTCGGGGTCATGCAAGGAGAGCCAGCTGTAGTATCATACAAAGAATGCTAGGAACAAAAGTGGGATCCAAATTCTCCCCCACCCTTCCCTTCTCCCCACTCAAGCAGCTGCTAGTCTAGTTTGGGCCCTTATCACCTCTGGTCTGCAGGATTACAATCGCTTACTAACCAGTCTCTGCTTCAAGTCTCAGTCCCCTCCAAACCATGCTCATTCCACTGCCAAGGCTGGCCATTTTGCTCCCTTCTGCGGTAAACTCTTTCGGTCCCTCCCAGCAGATTCAGACGCCTGAAGGGCAGGGTCTGTGTCTCCCCATCAAATGAGGAGCCCCCTTTGTCTCCTCACCGTCTCTCACCCTCCCCACCCCCAACATCCCATCTGTTGGAGGGTCCTCTTGTTTCTACTTTTGCAATATCTCTTGCACCTGCCTCATTCTCTCCTAGCTGCCACACTGGTCTGTGCCCTCATCACCTCGTACCTGGTTTATTGCAATCGCTGCCGGCGGGTCTGCCTGTCTCAAGTCTCTCCCCACTCCCATCCATCCTCTACTCAGGTGCCAAAGCGACCTTCCTAAAATGCACATCTGACCAGGTCATTCCCCCACTCAACAAATTCCAGTGGCTGCCAATCACCTCCAGGATCACATAGGAAATTTTCAGTTTGACTTTTAAAGCTCATCATGACCTGGCCCTTTCCAGGCTTTCCAGTTTGCTTACATCTTCCTTCCCTCCATATTTAGCTCTGGACTCCTTTTCAATAGCCATCTCCAATTCCTAGAAGCCTCTTCCTCCTCATCTCTGCCTCCTGGCTTCCCTGAAGCATCTGCAAGAAGCCTTTCCTGTCCTCTTCAATGCTATCGCCTCCCCTCAGAGACAGATCACCTCCCATTTACATTGTATATATCTTGTATGTACGGCGTTGTTTGCATATTGTCTCCTCTTGAGCCCAGTGAGGAAAGGTGTGCTTTTCACCTTTTTTTGTATCTCCACTTCTTAGTATGGTGGCTGGCATACAGTAAGCATTTAATAAATGCTTGTTTATTTCTTTACTGTGGGCAAGAACTTCGTCTCCTCCATCCTGAACATGTCTCTTCTCTCTGTCTCCAATGCCCATGTAGATGAACCTGGGACAAGATGTGATTGACATTTTCTCTCTTGTTCCAGGTACAAATGGGGAGCAGTCACCTTTGCTCACCCCTCCAAGCTCTCCGAAGATGCAGGACAGCTGTAGCATTGCTCCACTCACCCCTTCTCAGTCCCCGGTAAGTGCCCCTGGATGGTTGAGAGTGGGAGGAGAGAAATGGTTCAGGCTCAGGTAATCCCATAGGAAGGGGTCCTCTCAGCTCAAAGCCCACCTTGTGTCAGAGGCTACTGCTGGTCAGCCCATCCTTCACCGACAGTCTTCCCCAAGATTACTTTCCATTTTGCTGAATGTGTCTCGTACATACAATTTTTTTTCAAGATGCCTTCCCTATTAGAATTCGATCTCCTTGAGGGCAGGAACTATTTTTGCCTTTGTCTATATGTCTAGTACTTAGCACATAATAAGTGCTTAGTAAATGCTTGTTGATTGACCAACTATATTATATTTGTGTGTGTGTGTGTGTCTCTGTCTGTCTGGGGGGGGTTGGGAGGAGGCACTCAGGATTTTCAGGAATGAGAGGTCAGGCCACCTGGAAGAGAGCCCAGATCCAGGGGCCTGAAAGCTCTACCACAGAGCCAGAGACGGGGATGAAACTGAGAAAGGAAGATGAGATGTGAGACTTAGTTTAGAATTCCCACTGTCGTTCCCTCTAACCTTAAAGTAGAGCCTGTCTGGATGGAGAAGCCAGTGAAATACTCCAAGATGTGATACCCTACCAGGGGGTATCTGACCTTAGGTCTGATGGGGAGATGTAGCCCCCTGCCATCAGAGAGATAATGGATGGATGGATGGATGGATGGATGGATGTATGGATGGATGGATGGATGAATGGATGGGTGGGTGGGAGGGTGGGTGGATGGATGGGTCTGTGGGTGGGTAGACGAACCTCTGGATTGGTTCATTGAAGAAGAAGATGAGAAAGGAAGAGAGTTAGGATATGGGAAGTAGAAATTTTCTTTGTACTTGCCCCATTCTAACTAATTTTGTCCTTCCAGAGGAGTGAGGCCAGAGCCCCTCGGCCTGCTCCATTCTCCGTGGTGGTGGCCATCGACTTTGGCACAACCTCTAGTGGCTATGCCTTCAGTTTCACCAATGACCCTGAATCCATTCACATGATGAGGTGAGGGGCCCCCAGGGCCAGGGGTGAGGGTGGGATGACTCAGATGTCATTGAGAGAGAAGGTGATACTTGTGTAGCCTGGATGGATCATAGGTGTGGGGGCCTAGAATCAATCATAAACTCTTAAGGTGGCAAGGGAAAAGAGAGGTGGGGGGATGAGGGGAGAAGCAGACTTATCCCCAGCCCAGACATTAGGGCCAAGAGCCCCAGCTGGGAAGAGGCTGAGAGGAGCCAAAGCACAGGCCAGTTTCCTCATCCTAGGGCACTGAGGAAAGCAACTGTAAGGAACTTGGTCCTGAGGAGAAGCCCAGCCCAAGAAAACCAGCCCTAGAATATAGTTCAAGATCTGGTGCTGCTCTAGAGCAGGGGGCAGGGGGCAGGGGGAGGGGAGGGGGAAAGGGAGAAAAAAGGTTACATGATAACTTTATCATATATTTAAAAGGAATAACAAGTTGTACATAATAGATTTGCAGTTTCATATATGATCTTTTTTTCTATTTTACTATGTTATGGAAATGCTTGTTTTATTTCTTAAGTTCAAAATAAAATAAAATTTAAAAAAAAAGAAAAATAGCCCTAATAAGTAATAGATGATAATATCAGATAAATATTTTCACATCTATCTCCATTGGTGGAACAATAGGGAAAGTAATGGCTTTGGAATCAGAGGACCCAAGTATCAGTCCTACCTCTGAAGGTCACTTCCTTGACCTCCCTGAGCCTCAGTTTCCTCATCTGTCAGGTTAGACTAGATGGGCTCTGACTCTGTGCTCTGATAATAGGAACAGCTGGGTGAGGTGGGGGAGGGAGGCGGGGGAGGGACTTTCGGACCATGCAGAAGAGTCAAAGGGGAGCTGGGGGGGTGAGGCCAGTGACCCTGAGCTTGAGGGCCCCAGCGTCATTGGCTGAATAGCCCAAGTTTCTAAGCTGTCTAGACTAGGCTTGCTCTGCACAACCTTCTCTCAGTCTGTACCTCCAGATGCAAAGGGGAGATTTGGTAACCTTGAACTTTCGAGTTTGTGTCTTCTCCTCTTCCATTCCCTGGCCCCCACACAAACCCCACTCAACTACTCAGGACCCCAAAGCCCACACACACCCCCACCTCCCCTTCCTCCCTCACTCCCATTATTCCTAACCTCACCCCACCCCCCAGCCCTCACTCACATACGCACTGACCCCAAGCTGGGGTCACTTCCCCGTCCCATTTCCTTCCTCTCCCCTGCTGTCTCAGATCCAGATGTTGGCCCGGCGATCTCTCATTGTCTGTCCCTTTGGCTCCTCCCACCTCACAGCTGGAGGGAGCTGTTTCTGCCTGGTGATTCCCCCCCCCCTTTCCCAGCCTCAATCCCTTCTGCCCCACACAGTACAATGAATCAAGCACTCCCTAAGTGCCTACCATGTGCCCAGGCACTGTGGGCAAGACAATGACATGGTGAATGGGTCAGAAAGACCAGGGTCCAAATCCCACCTTGGACAGTTACTACCTGCCTGACCCAGAGCAAGTCACTTAATATCTCCATGCCTCAATTTTCCTCATCTTTAAAATGAGAGTGCCCTTTACAGTCCCTGCGATCCTAGGACACTGGCATGCTGCATAGGGAAAAACCACAGATAATATAATTCCCATTCTACAGAGGAGGAAACTGAGACTGTGCTGTTCAGTCCACTATCTACATAGGCAACTAGATGTTCAAGTGGTTTGAGCGCTGCTATTGGACTCTGAAAGAACTGAGTTTGAATCCTGTCTCCAACAGTTACCAGGTGTAAGACCCTAAGAAAGTTGTTTAATTTCACTCAGCCTCAGTTTTCTCATCTGTAAACTGGGAATAATTATAGCCCCTATCTCCCAGCATTATTTTGAGGATCTAATAAGATAATGTGTAGAAAATGCTTGGTCAACCTTACAGCACTATAAAAATGCTGGCTGTTAATACATATTTTGGAAAGAATCTGCTGTTAATTTCTGAGACTCCTAGTGAGGAAATGCCCTCTTCGGCAAAGCTCCCCTGCAATTTAGACTCTTAGGGAGTCGCCTGGGGCATTGAGAAGTCAAGCGCCTAGGGTCACGTAGCCAGGATGGATCATTAAATCTTGGCCTATATTTCAGCCTAAGATCCAGTAGTTCTGTTTGTAAAAGATGTAGTATGAGAGAGAAGGGAAGAGACAGAGGGACAAGGAGAGAAATAGAATCAGAGAAAAACACAGGTGGATGGGTAGGTCAATCAATAAGTATATGGGAAGAGAGAAAGAAGAGGTGAGGGAGGGGAAAGGGGAGAGATAGGAAGAATAAGAAAGAAACAGATGAATGGATAGATAGGTAGATAAATCAGTAGGGAAGTGGAGAGAGTGAGAGAGACAGATGCGTGGATGGATGGGTGGATGGATAGGCAGACTGATCAATACATATTATGGGAAGACAGACAGAGAGAGAGACTATATTAAGCACTATATTAAGTGGCTATGGGCCAGCCACTGTGCTAAGTGCCTGGGATACAAATACTAGCAAACAAGTTCGTCCTTGCCCTCAGGGTGTTTGCATCCTAATGTACTATATAGGGGAGCTAGAAGAAGAGGAGGAAGATGGGGACACGACAGCAAGGGAAGTAAGTCGGGGGACTCTGGAGAGAGTCAAGGCCTGAGTGAGGTGAAGAAAGATGGGCCTACCCTGGGAGGGAATTCCCAATCAGGAGAGCAGGGCTTCAGGGGTCTCTGGGGTGGCAAGGCAGCAATCAAGGAGCAGGCTGAGTCCAGAGGAGAGAGTGAAAGAACGAGGAATGAAAGGTCAGTGTGGACCGGTGCAGTGAGGGCAGGCTTCCTTGAGAAGGCACGACTTACTTGAGAGGAGCGTCACTTTGCTGTCACTTGGACTGGAGAGCTTTGGGAAGCCAGAGGGGAAGAGGGGGGAGCGGCCTGAGCTGAGGACAACACGAGCTCCACCTATTTGTGAGTCTAACACAGTGCCTTGCGCATAGCAGGTCCTTAATAAGTGTTTGGTGGATGGAATGGAATTTGTGTCATAGTGGAGACTGGTCTGGATGGTGAGAGTAGAGGGGAAGCCACATGTGGCCTTCTTGGTCCTTGGGTGTGGCCCTTTGACTGAGTCCGAGCCTTACAGCATACATCCTTTTATTAAGGGGATTTGTTCTGTGGAGTTTGGATTCAGTCAAAGGGCCGCGCCTGAGGTCGCAGGTTCCCCACCCCTGATCCTAGACAGTGCCCTAACAGAGGCCAAGACCAGGAGTCAGGTCAGACTGGCTGGTGGGGTGAATAGCAGACATGAGGCTGAGGCCCAAGTAACAGTCTAGAATCCAGCTCTCTCCCCTAGCCCATACTCCCCATATCCCCCAGGGACACCGAGAGCTGTTAGCTCAAGTCTGACACACATCCTCCTATTCATGTCTTCTAGATGCCTCTTCTCCAAGACCCTCAAAATATAAGGAAGGTCTACACACACACACACACACACACACACACACACACACACACACACCGATTATGTAGGATGCCTTAGAAGCCACAATGGTACACTGGAAATGGTCCTAGACTTTGGAGTCTAGAAAGGGTCCTAGGCTTACAAAGGATCCTAGCCCCAAAGGATCCTAGCGGTTGTAGGACCATGGGCAGATCTCAGAACCCTTCTAAGCAAGTCCTGAACACAGGTCTTCCTGACTCCAAATTCATCCCTCCAGCTGTGCCCAAGGCACTGTCCTGATGTCAAGAAAAGCTTCTAAAGAAAGAACCAGATGGGTCGTGTTGTGGACACGTTTTATTTGAGATGTGCCAGGGAGGCGAGTGGCCAGGCCCGAAAGAGAGACAGAAGTAGGGATGGTCGAAGGCATGGGTCACAGCATCGTAGATCTGTGGAAGGAGCCTCATGAAGAGAAACAATGTCTGAAAATGAGACTGGGAGAGAGAGCCTGCAAGAAATGGTGAAACATGGACAGAAAGAGGAATACCCAGAGTGTGGGTGCACAGGGCTTAGGTCCAGGGCACTGACATTCAAGGGGGCCTCGCTTCCGGCCAGCAGGGCTTGATTCCTTCCTCAAAGGTGAACAACCTCAGGACTCTGTCTGGAGGCCAGCCCCCACTTTTCCAACTCCTGTGGGTGCAAATGATGGATTCGTTGACGACAGGCCACTCCCTTTCTCAGAATGACTCCACCCAATTTCTGCTGATCTCTCTGTCAGCACCCTGACCCATCTTCCACCCCAGCTCCCTCAGTTGAATCTGACCCATGTATATTCATCCTAGTTAGGCCAGAGAAACAGAAAAAACACAGTTAACACAGGAGAGAGGGAGAGGCAGAGATGGGGATAGGCCTGGAGAGAAAGGCAAGGAGAGGCCAACAGAAACACAGAAGCCGAGGCTAGGACAGGTGGTTTCAGAGCCAGAGCTGGCCAAGCCTGACCGGACTTCATCCCACCCCAGGAAGTGGGAGGGCGGGGACCCAGGTGTGGCCCACCAGAAGACGCCCACCAGCCTGCTGCTGACCCCGGAGGGCGTCTTTCATAGCTTTGGCTACACAGCCAGAGACTACTACCACGACTTGGACCCCGACGAGGCTCGAGACTGGCTGTACTTTGAGAAGTTCAAGATGAAGATCCACAGCACCAGTGTGAGCTGGGAGGAGCGAGCGGGAGGGGGGGTAAAGTAGCAGGGGAGGGGCTGAGCCTGAGGGGAAGGCCGAGGAGCAAGGGGGGGGGGAGTGAGGAGAGGGACCAGAGAAAAGCCTGGGCGGTGGTCCTGCCCGCCTCCTCTCCTTCCTGACATTGCTTCATTGCCCCCCTCCCAGGACCTCACCATGAAGACGGAGCTAGAGGCTGTGAATGGAAAGAAGATGCCAGCCCTGGAGGTGTTTGCCCACGCTCTGCGGTTCTTTAAGAAACACGCTGTGCAGGTGACCCTTCCCCGCCAGCTCTGGGACCTTGGGGAGTGCAGGGAAGGAGGCCCGTCTGGTCCTCGGGAGCAAGCTCTTCTCCCCCTTCTCCTGTCTGCATTCCTCACCCCCGACCAAGACCAAGACCAGTGCGTCCTCCGACGCCTTAACACAGATCCCTCCGGTGGACAGGCCTCCAGAGGTCATCTTGTCCACTCCCCTGTCTCCAGACATCAGCCCAGACAGAGGATGTATGGGGAGGAGGGACTGCCTCCAAGGGGCTTTGGAAGCAAGGCATAATTGAGAGTCCACAGACACGGGTGGGAGTCCTGGCTCCTGACCTTGGGAGCACTCCCTTTAGTTCTGACCCTGTGTCTTCTTCAGTAAGAGAATTCATTGGATTCCCCAGCTCCCATTTTTAGGAGCAGTGTCTTCCACTTACTACCTGTGTGACCCTGGACAAGTCACTTAACCTCAGTCCTCACATCTGTAAAGTGGAAATAATAATAGCATCTATCTCACAGGTTTGATGGGAGGCTCAAACAAGATGATATAATTAGTGCTTTTAAGGTTTGCAAAGCACTTTACATGTGCTATCTCATGTGCTATCAACCCTGGGAGATAGGTGCCGTTATCATGCCCATTTTACAGATGAGGAAACTGAGGCAAGGAGAAGATCAGTGACTTGCCCAGGGTGACTCACACAGCTAGGAAGATTGGAACCCAGGTCCCCTGAGTCCAGGGCTCTTCATTTGCACCAGAATGGGCAGTTCTACACACATACGTAAACTGAAGGTATACACAGGTAAAAGCATGTATACACACACACAAATGGTCAACCCCGTCCAGAACATGCTTAGGACCCTCCAGGACGTCACGAGCTACAGAAATATGACCTCATGTTGCCAGTCTCTCAACCAAGCACAGAAGGTCCTTCCTGTGGTCTGACTGTAGTGTCCACCGCTGCAGGCAGGGCTGCAGAGGCCCTCCCTCTCACAGGGAATGTGAGCTTGGTTCTTCAGGTCTAAGATGGCCATGGGGTGAGAGGTAGAGCCAGAGACATCAAAGGCATGCTAGATGAGGAATCCCATGGCCTGAATCCTAGCTCTGCCTCGTATTACCAGTATATCCTTAACAAATCCCTTCTCCCCCTCTGTCCCTATCTGTAAAATGAAGGGGTTAAGCTACATGACCTCTACTCCATGGGCTATGATTGTGATTTCCTTCCTTTCCCTCCTTCCCCCAAACCCGGCCGGCTGAAATCCAGGAGCTCAGGGAACAGTGCCCATCGCTGCCGGAAAGGAATGCCATCCGCTGGGTACTCACCGTTCCTGCCATCTGGAAGCAGCCAGCCAAGCAGTTCATGAGGGAAGCTGCCTACCTGGTGAGTGAGGGGGGAGTGGAGAGCAGTTCTTAGACAGAGGTCCCAAGAGGGCCTGCCCTATCTGGAGACAAAGCAAAATCGGGAAGACCTGAGTTCTAATCCTTCCTCAGACATTTACCAGCTGAGTAACCAGCTGGATCAGTCACTTAACCTCTGCCTGCCTCAGTTGCCAATTTGTAAATTGGGGATGATAATAACAGCTACCTCCTTGGATTGTTGTGAAGATACCATGAGGTAATATTTGTGAGTCATTTTGCAAATGCGAGCTATTAGAGGCAGCAACCAATACAACATGGGAGGGAGGGCAGGAACCATCCCCCTCTCCCCTACTGCCCATCAGAGTGTCTAAAATTCCCTATGAGACTGCAGTAGTATGGAAAGAGCTCTGGATTTGAAGACAGGACCTAAGTTCGAATGTTAGCTCTTTTCTCTTGCTTGTCTGTGCCGGGCTAAATCATAGTCCTCAGTTTCCTCATCAGTAAAATGAAGGAATTGGGCTGGGTGATCTCTAGGATTCCAGATGGGTCTCCTGGGCTTTTCAGTCTGTAAGTAGAGGGAGAAATCACACTCTAAATTTTTATTAACAGTAAGACTTTGGGCAAGTCACTCCTTCTGGCCTGTACAATAAGAGGACCATATGGCACAGGAGAAAGACAGCTGGGTTGGGAATGAGAGGACCTGGGTTTGAATCCCAGCTCTCCTATGCAACCTTGGACAATCACTTCCTGGGGCAAATGAGGCATTTGGACCGGATGGCCTCTAGCTCAGCCTCTGAAGTAGCTGAACTAGACGCCCAGCCTGTCCCCCTCAGCCGATCTAGCATCCTGTCATTCTGGAATTCTAACCCGCTAAGTCCTTGGCAAGGATGGCGATAGGCAGCAAAGATGGTCATGGCCGGCAAAGACCAAGGTCTGGAGGAAAGAGGCATTTGGAGGTGCAGAGGGTGTGACCTTGGAGGGAAGGCAAAGGGCAAGGTACAGGTCTCCAGAAACAAACTTCCACCATTTCCCAGTTTTGCCTTCCCCAAACGGTTAAGGGAGCTCCTCTCTCTCTGTATTTCCCTTCCTATCTTGAGTTTGATGTAAGAAGCTTGCTAGGAGGCAGCTAGATGGCACAGCGGATCAAGCTCCGGCCTTGGAGTTAGGAGGACCTGAGTTCAAATTTGGCCTCAGACACTCGACACCTAACTAGCTGTGTGACCCTGAGCAAGTCACTTAACCCCAATTGCCTTACCAGAAAAAAAAAGAAGCTTGCTGTGGATATGATCAATACTTTCATAGGAGACACCTAATGAGGCTAGAGAAGGTCCAGAGAAAAGCAATAAAAATGGAGGTGCTAGACCAAAACACCGTTTGCACACAGTTAGCACTTAATAAATGCTTACCGAATGAAAACATGAATGAATGGATGGATGCATAGATAGATGGATGAATTAGATTGTAAACTACTTGAGAGCAGAGACTATTTCTTGCCTCTTTTTATATCGCCAATGCTTAACATAGTGCCCGGCATATAGTAAGTGCTTAATAAATGTTTATTGATTGACTGAATGAATGACCAGGACTTAGGGCTGGAAAAGATCTTAGAGAGTCTAGTCTAGAAACTCTAAAACCTTCAACTGAAGACAAGAAGAAAAATTATTTTCCCAGGGTAGGTCAGGCACTTAAGTTAGTCGAGATTAGAACCCAGACTCCGGGACCAGAACAGTGTTAACATTGTACCATTTTGATTGGGAGGGTGCAGGCTGAGGAGCCAAATCAAAATCTCTAGCCTCCTGAGGGAGGGCGGTCATTCATAGTCAACAGGCATTTATTATGCACCTACTATGTGCCAGGCACCAGACTGAGCGCTGGGGATACAAGAAAGGCAGACAACGGGCCCTTCCCTTCAGGAGCTCACAATCTGGTCTGGGAGACAGCGTGCAAACAACTCCAAACATATAAAATGGACAGAGAATAGAGGAAGGGTAATCTCAGAGAGGGGGCACGTCTAGGCAGGGAGAGGCAGAAAAAGACAGAGAGACAGCTGTTGGCTTTGTTGCTCACACCCCACACTCTAGGATGAGGGGATCCTGGGGGGTAGCCCGTGGGAGGCCAAACCTCAGGCCATCCCCCTTTCATCGGAGTGGAATAACCATAGGGACCCAACGGTTAGACCCAGGCTAGAGAGAAAAGCAAGGTCGGGAAGGGTTTGGAGAAATCCCTAGAGGATGGCTCCTTCAGTCTGTCATCCAGAGGCCCACAGCTTTACAGCATTTACTTACATGCATTTATTAAGCACCTACTGGATACCAAGCACTATATAAATATAAAGACAGTCCTTGCCCTCACGAAATTACATCATAGGGGTGGGAGAAGAGACTACTGAGATAAACACAAAATACACGCGGAGCAGTAAATAAAGCAGTTTTAAGGGGGAGGAGAGTGGTGAGCCACCGAGGAGGAGCCAGGCAGGCTTCCTGGTGCTTAAGCTGAGGTTTGGAAGGAGCTAGGGATTACCAAAAGGAGGAGGTGAGGAAGGAAAGCGTTCTAGGCCAGGGAAACCGCCCTTACAAGAGCGCAGAGGTGAGAGATGGAATGTCTGGCTCAAGACACAAGAGGCCTGCGGCCAGCCTTGTGAGGCTGGTATTGCTGTGACTGCCCCCCAGGGCATCTCCTGTCAGGAGCAGGGCCCAGATCTGATTGTGCCATAATGGAAAAACGCTGGGAGCCAGAAAGGGTTAAGGCTTCTGCAGAGAAGAGGCTCAGCCCCAGGGCCTCCGGCTCAGTACTCCCCCAGAGCCTCTGCCTCGGGCCCATCCAAGGGATGAGAACATTGCCTGTAGCCAGGCCAGAACAAACACCCCCCTCCTCCCAGCCCCCGGCACTCGCAGACTCAGCCCCTTGGTGGCTTTTCCTCCCACATTGTTCCTAGGAAGCCTCAGCTCGCAAAGGGCCAGGACCGCAAGAGGAAAGTCTTTGCTGAAGATCTAATCAGAGTGAGCCACCCTCCACCCGCATACTCTTCGCAGCCCAAACGGCATTCAGGGGATCCCTCAGCGTGGAACTTTCCCAGAAACATTAGAAGTTGTGAATTCCAAAGAAAGTCAGAGATCCTCCCGCTGAAAGGACCGGGAGAGGCCTTTGCAGCCATCCCCCTGCCTCTGCACATGACCCTTGCCCCTGGAAGGCCCCAATTTGTTGGCAGAGATAGGCTTCCTGCCTTCAGGGACTTTTCGTTGGGATGGAAGAGGCAGTCTGTGCTATCAGACTCCCTGTTCTGAGGAGACACAGCCTTTGCCCTGATTGGGGTGGCAGCCTCTGAATTAAACAGACAGAGAGATAGACAGATGATACAATGATAGATATGACAGATGACAGATTATAGACAAACAGACATGACAGATAGGTGTTAGAGCAAGGATTTGTCGAGTGCTGAGGCATAGTGCTAAGGGGATACAAAACAGAAGCAAAGAAGACAGTGCCTCCCCTCTAAAAGCTCACATTCTAATGGGGAAAGATTGGAAAGCTGGGGGCTAGGGGGTAGGGGACAGTATGATGGTAGAGAGTGGAGCACCTTATCAGGAAGTGATTTGGAGGTCTGATCAAAGAGAAGGCAAAAGCTTTCCCCTCAGAGCTAAGAGATCCAGGGATGGAGAACCAAGTCACTGGTGGGAAGGAGGAGGAAGGGATTTGCATAGTCATCCAGGGGGACAGCGGCTGGTCAATGAGGGTGATACCCCTGCCCTCAGGAAGCCCTCCATATGACAGCAAAGACGTGGCCTTTACCCTGATGGAGAAGACAAGACATCTCAGGACCAACGTCAGCTTGGAGAGACCCCAGCCCCAACCCAAAAACATTCCAACTCTGGCTCTTAATTAGCTGTGTGATCATGCTCCGTCTGATGCAAGACTCCTGCCGTGGGCGTCAGGAGACAGAGGTTGGAATCATAGCTCTCCAAACTGTCAGTATGACCTTGGCCAATCTTTTTACCTCTCCAGGGCCCAGCTTCCTCTGTAAAATGAAGAGTTGGCCTCGGTCATTTTTCAGTCATGTCTAACTCTTATGAGCCCATTTGGGGTTTTCTTGGCAAAGATATTGGTTTGCCATTTCCTTCTCCAGCTCATTTTTTAGATAAGGAAACTGAGGCAAAAAGGGTTAAGTGACTTGCCCAGGGTCACACAGCTAGTAAGTGTCTGAGGCTGGATTTGAACCCAGGAGATTGGACTACAGTGTCTCAAGGGTCCCTTTCCAGCTCTGACATTCTAAGATTCTTTCTCCTCTCTGGGTTATCAAACATCTGCAGAGCAGGGTAGTGTGGGAACAGGTCCCAGGAGAGGCAGTATGGGAAGGCAGGTGCTAGGCAGAGGGCGTGTGTGCCCACTGGAAAAGGGGACCAATACTTCCTTTCCTACTCCAGGGGGGAGAACATCTGGGTATGGAGTATTGTCAGTTGGTTGGCTGAACTGTAATTTTGTTTTGTATTTTTTTCTTCTTTGTTACAAGGGATGATCTCTGTCTAGGGGAGGGGGCAAGGATAGATTCTAACATAAAGGTAATATATGAACGAAAGATATCAATGAGACGGGGCTTAAATACCAGCCCTGCCCTGGGGGCAGGGATGAGGAGGCTCTGTGTTTCATCGTTGGGCTCAGAGAGCAAACGAGATAATATATGAAGCATTCTGCCAACCTTAAAGTGTGCTATAACTACTAGGTATTAAATAGCTATGACTCCTGGTTCATTATTAACAGTGTCTTTAAGCATAACGCAGCTTCCCTGACCTCAGCTATCTCTGTTTTCACCTGGTACATGATTGCCGCCGCTGGCTTTTATAGATTAAGTCGGGCCTAACAGATTTCAATGCTTTCTTCCAGGCGGGCTTGGTGTCCCCCGAGAATCCCGAGCAGCTCCTCATAGCCCTAGAGCCCGAAGCCGCTTCCATCTACTGTCGAAAGCTCCGTCTCCACCAGCTCATTGACCTGAGCTGCCGGCCGGTGTCCAATGGCTTCCTGGGCGAGCGGCGCTCCATCGACTCCAGCTTCCGCCAAGGTAGGGACGGGGCCAACAAAGGGCAAAAACAAAGGTTCTGACACTGGGGATCCGTCCACAATTTCCCCAATGACTTCGATCAAAAGCACTGGTTTTCAAGTTGGCCAGGGCAAGGAGGGCCGGCTAACGTGAAAGGTGATAGAGTCAGGGTCCAAGAAGACATCGGAGGGCCAGAACATTGGGACCAACCAATACGGTGAAATTTAATAGAAGTAAATGTAAAGCCCAACCCTAAGCTCCAAGAACCAATTACACAACTATAGAATGGGGAGACGTGATCAAAGGATCGCTTTGCTGCTTGCTACCTGGGTGAGTAGGGCATCTTTCAACCTTTCTGTGTTTCAGATTTCTTATCTGGAACACGAGGGAATTGGAGTAGATGATCTGCAACGTCCTCAAAGCTCTAATCTAAGACAGACAGACAGACAGACAGATAGACAGATAGGTAGGTAGACAGATAGAGGAAAATCCGTAAAAGGGATTGGGAAGGAGGAGCAAAGTAAATTCACGAGGCAAAGTAGAAAAGTCCGTAGAGTCAGGAACAAAACCTTGAGAGAAGTGGGGATGAATGACCCAGGCATTTCCCTAAGTGCCAGAACTCACCAATGTGAGAAGGGGACCACTGTAGTGGAGGGGCCATACCTGGCTCACACCTTGTCATACCTGGTTCAATTCAAGGAACTCGGGGCGTTTAGCCTAGAAAAGAGAGGATTTGAGGGATGGGGAGGGGGCTGTGATAGCAATCTTGAAGTATTTGAAGAGCTCCCACGTGGAAGGGGGATTTGACTTCAAGTCACTTAACCACTGTGTGCCTCGGTTTCCTCATTTGTAAAATGAGGTGGTTGGACTGGATAGTTTCTAAGGCCCATTTCCAACACTGAGGTTCCGTGATTCTGGGAAATCACAATCCCTGACCCGGTCTGATGCTGGAGGCAGAGGTGAGCCAGACATACCCAGACTAGCATCAGTGGAGATAATATAAAATTGGTCACAATTACAGAACCTGGAGCATAGTAGGGGCAGACATTAGTTATGAGAGGATTTCAGGACAAAGCTGGGCCATCCTTCCTTGAATCTTCCCTTCATTACCGTCATTCTAGTTTTGATAGTTTTGGGCCTAATTGCTCAAGGCCTAGAATGCCAGGATCAAGATGGTAAGAAGTTTGCAAGCGGTCCTCTGAACAACAGGATACTCTGCGGTCGATAAGACTCCAAAACCCTTGGAGGTTTTGGCTCAAGGGTGAGGTGTGCAAAGGGAGTCACTTGGATTGGAGTGGGGAGAACCCAGAGCTGGGGGCTCATATCACAAATCCTCTAGAGAGAAGGGCACCAAGCCCTCATCCCCCGGACTGGAATGGCGAGTGGCCGGGGAAATGGAGAGGGGGAAAAGGGGATTTCACCTGGAGAAGTCTGAATACAGAATTTGGTGACAAATACAACCAAGGACAAGAGATGCTTTCGAGGGTGAAGCCTGGCACCCTGAAGGGAGGGAGGCTTAATTAGCTAGGCTTGGCAATTGGCATTTCTAGAGCATCATGGTGAAATCCAAGTGCAGCAGCGCAAGGGGCCTTATGGGTCAGCTGGTCTAACCCCCTTATTTGGCAGAAACTGAAGCCCAGTTTCCACAGAAATGCAAGGTGAGTTGCCCAGAGTCACACAGGTAGTGACAGAATCAGGATTTGAGCCCACATTCTCTGACTCCAAATCAAAATATGTGTGATCCCCTAGCTCTTTATAAAAGAGCAGCTAGGTGGTACAGTGAATAAGAGTGCTGGGCCTGGAGTCAGAGACTCATCTTCCTGAATTCTGACACTTACTAGCTGTATGACCCTGGGCAAGTCACTTCACCCTGTTTGCCTCAGTTTCCTCATCTGTCAAATGAGCTGGAGAAGGAAATGGCAAATATCCAGTATCTCTGCCAAGAAAACCCCAAATGGGATCACAAAGAGTCTGAAATGACTTAACCATGACAGTTCTTTATAAACACTCTCCTGCCCCTCACAAAAATTCTGTGAGGTAGGTAACAAGGTTGTTATTATCCCCATTTAACAGAGGAGGAAACTGAGATTTAATGAGTGATACTGGGCAAGCCATATGACCTCTCTGAGCCTCAGTTTCCTCATCGGTCAAATGGGGATGACATCTATAGTACCTGCCTCAGAGGGCTGTCATAAGGAGCCAGTGAGATAGTCAATACAGAGGGCTCTGTAACCTTTAAAGCACTATATCCATATTAGCTATTATTATTACTGTTATTAGAGCAGTCAGTGGGCCCACAGCCAGTGAGCGGCAGGGCTGGGAAGCCGGGCCTTGACTCCCAAGGCTAGTGCTCTTTCCCCTAGCAGAGGATGCAGGGCCACTGGGGTTAATGTCATGGGAAACTCAGGTGGGGAAGGGGGACAGAAGAACCTCTCCCTGTTGACCCTTTTCCTGGACAGAAGGAAAGCAGCCCAGTGCTCCGGCCTCCGGGAGCTGAACTGAGCTGACTGAGAGAAGGGGAGCGGGAGGGTCTGCACTCATCTGGACTCCACCGATAGCAGGAGCACCTGTTTGGATTCTGGGTGTGGGGCCCAGATCTCCCCAGGGAGGAGAGGGCAGGGACCATTTCCGGAGGTATCCAGAGCTGAGCAAAGCCACACCACCAGAGATTCTAATCCGGGACCGAGCCTTCCATTGGCTCTGCCCAGCCGTGTTTTGTTTTGTTTTTTAACACTTTCCATGATGTCCAGCTCATGCGGGCACAGCACATCTGGGGAGGGAGGCATGATGGGGGCAAAGGTCTGCCCCTTAACAAGCTGGAAGACCCCGTGGACCTCGGCTCCCTTTCTATAAAATCAGAAGTCAGGAGTGAATCTCCAAAGTCCTGACCCTAACCCTCAATGCGGTCTAAGCCAAGGGATGCTGAACAGGGAGAGAAACAGAATCACAGACTTGGAGCTGGAAGGGAGTTTGGGGGCCATCAGATCCAAGCCCCTTATCTTACTGTGGGTTGTGACCTTGGGGGGCTGCAGGAATGGACACCCCAAAGAGTAGACTGGGTAGGGAGGAGATATGGTGGCAGTGGGGAAAATCTTAACCAGATTTTGGGGGGTGAGTGGAGAAGCAGTATATAGTGAAGGGATTTTGAAACCAGGCTGTCAAAGTCCCATCTACACAAAGGTGAAATAAAAAGCAACGTGATTTGAAGGACATTAGGAAGGGCCCCTGACCCTCGGAATATCTTCCTATAGATCGGCGACCATGGGCAAGTCACTGAATCTCTCTGGGCCTCAGTTTCCTCGTCTGTGAAATGATGTTGGCCTAAATGACTCTGAGGTCACATCGAGCTCTAGGTCAACAAGCCACATGTCACCAGAGTCCAAAATTCCACCATTTGTGCTTCATTCCTTTAACTTAAGCCTTGGTCTCGTCAGCCTCTTTTTTGAAATCCCAATTCCCCCAGGAGGAGGAAAACAATCGCTCCCTAAGCTGTACGTACAGACAAGGACGCTAGAAGATTTTGCTGAAATGAGTGACCCGGTCCAGCAAGGATGGGATTTGGGAGTGGGACGAAGCCCTTAGATTCCCCCTCTCACTTTGCCCTCTCTTCGTCCCAGCCAGGGAACAGCTCCGAAGATCACGCCACAGCCGTACCTTCCTGGTGGAGTCAGGTGTTGGAGAGCTGTGGGCAGAGATGCAGGCAGGTAGGAGGGGGCCAGCTGGGGAAGGGTCTGGGAGCGGGGAGACGGGCCACAGAGCTGAGGGAGGGCTGGGAGGTCTCAGTGGTGAAGGATGAGGGCTGGTCTGCTCTGGGCAGATGTGTGTGGAAGCAGGAGGGGGATACCAAGGATGGAGGGCATTTCTGTTCAGTATCAGCTACTCTACCGCCCATACACACACAGGGCCAGAGCACCGGGCACCATGGGGCTCAGGCCTCACCTCACACCCTGCACTTAGAAAGCTGCCAGCCTAGGCCTCTCAAAAACACAGCAAACACACACTGGAATGAGGGCACAGGCTACTGGTTATAATAGACACTGGCTTTTTAGTTTGGTACAGTTCTGCAAACATTTATCCAAAACATTGACTAGGTGAGGAAAATATATCAGTAAGTTCACCCTCATATGTATCCTCTCCATGGGAGCCTTTGCCCTCACACCTCCATCTCTCCTCCGTTACATCCCCCCTAAGGAAACTTCCATCCCTATCTTCCCTATCCCTCACTGAACAACCGCCCACCCCCAGCTCACTGGGGATCACCTGCCCTAAGGACCAGAAACACTAAGAAAAGAGTTACTAGAGCCATTCACCTGCATCCACTCTGTGGAAGGGAGAGGCAGGATTCACTCGGAATTCACATCCTGGGGGATCTCAGGGTTCACAGGCTCAACCACTAGAATCACCAAGGAGATGGGACGGAAGAACCCAGAGGCTTAGGATCCCATGACCTAGGTGGGAAGGGAGGAGGTGACTCCACCTTTCCACAGGTCAGAAGGATTGGAACTTGGACCCAGGCAGGGCAGCGGGGAACAGAGGATGAGGAGAAGGAGGCAGGAGAGACATTTATATTGTGGAACCCTATTGTAGGATGGGAGTGGGGGTCCTAGAAGAGAGAGGAAGTGAAGAAACCAGGGGAGCCTTTAGGGGAACAGAGCTATAGAGATCAGCATCTCAGAGGGATCCCCATTGATGGGTTGGGCAACGGAAGTGGGGATGAGAAACTGAGAACCAGACATTGTCTCTAACTGTATGGGTCTCTGTGTACGTGTGGGTGGGTGGAGTTGGTAGTGGTGCTGTGTCTGTGTGTACCTCTGTCGTTCTGAAAACAGGAAATCACCATGTAAATGATTATTTTTAATCTCCCAGCTCTGCCAGTCTCCCTAATTCTGTTCCTCTTAACTCCATCATTCTAGGCTCTAAGGCATAGGTTCCCAAAGTGGGCAATACTGCCCTCTGGGGAATGCTGGAATGATGGGGGTGGGGGGGCAATAGTAGCCTGGGGTGCAATTGCAGGGCATTGAATAAAAATAAGGAGGAGGTGGAAGCCTAAGAAAAGAAAAGAAGATAGGAAAATTTTGAAAAACCATTTAAACCATTCGTACGTGTTTCATCTGTTGTATAACAGAGTTAAAGTTGTAGTGATTACATTATTTTCCAAATAAACACACAAAATGCAAGTTATAACCAATCAGAGGTCAAATCTGCTGATCAGTTTTAACTAGCAAATGTTGGCAGGCAGGCATGAAGTGCATTGTTGGGAAGTCCAGAACTCATCCGCAGGAATACGTGTAATGACTAGTTTGCAACATGATACTATACAGTTACATGAGGCAATATTGTGTCTTCAAATTTTTAATGCAGGAAAAGAACCACAAATGTATAATAAATTATTAAATTTAAGATACATCTTTTTTTAATTTAATTTTTTTTGAAATGACACAAATTTCGAAAACCGTCAAAGGGCTAAACAAAGTAGATTTCCAGGGGGGTACTGAGAAATTTTTTAAAGAGGGCAGTAAGTCGTATAAGTTTGGGAACCTTTCTTCTAAGACTCCCTCCCAGCTCTGATATTCTGTGTTCTAAAGTTCCTCTTAGCTCCATCATTCTGGGTTCTACGGTTCCTCCCAGCACTGATGTTCTGTGTTCTAAGGTTCCCCTGAGCTCCATCATTCCAGGCTCTAAGGTCCCTCCCAGGTGTGACCTAGAGTTGATTGTTTTGATTTGGTTTGGTTTGCTGGGGAGAAACATTGGGGGTGAGCAGAGAAGCAGCATGGTGCCTGTGTTTGTGTGTGAATACACGTCTCCGTTGGTAGCTGTGTCTGCGCGCTGTATGTCTGTGCCGGCTTGCATGTGGGTCTCCAGGCATGCCTGTACACAGGTGCGTGTTTGGGGGTGCCTGTGCACATGTGTGCTCACATCCATCCTGTTCTGACACATCGTTCCTGCAGGTGACCGCTACATCGTGGCAGATTGTGGGGGCGGTACTGTGGACCTGACCGTGCACCAAATAGAGCAGCCCTTGGGGACCCTCAAGGAACTCTACAAAGCTTCAGGTTAGCTCCATGGGAACCCCCATCCTCACTCATCCACTGTCTCCCTGGCATTGCCCAGTACTTTGGTCACACTGCCCTCTCGTGGCCAAACTCTGTACTGCAACCACATCCTCACCAGATAGACCAGATCTTCCTACCCCACCCAAATCCCCTACACTCACTGCCCGCCTCTGTGATTCCCCTATTCCTGAGCATCTCTTCACCCAGTAAGACCAGGCGCTCCTTCAGGACTGAAGCTATGTACGTCTCTTCCAGCAGATCAATCGAGGTCAACCAGCTAGCATTTATTAAGCACCTACTGTGTCCCAAGCATTGTGCTGGCAACACAAAGACAAAAATGAATCATTCCCTGCCCTCAAGGAGCTGACACTATATCGAGGGTGGGGACTATTAAGTTGTGTATTTAAATTGTTCATTATATATTTATATATGCTAGCATACTGCCTCCCTAAATGGTGTTGTATTTGTATGTGCACATACATATGCATGCATATGTGCAATGGAAAGGCAGCAATGAGGAATGAGGCCGCTAGGTGGCGCCATAGTGCACCAAGCACTGGGCTAGGAATCAGGGAGGCTCATCCTCCTGAGTCTGACACTTACCGGCTGTGTGACCCTGGTTAAGTCATTTCACCCTGTTTGACTTAGTTTCTTCATCTGTAAAATGAGCTGGAGAAGGAAATGGCAAACCGCTCCGGGATCTTTGCCAAGAAAAGTCAGACATGACTGAGCAACAGCAAAAGGAGGAATCTTCTACCAATGAAATCACGGATCCAGTCCCCTATCCCTGTGCACACATGTATGCATATGTACATGCGTATGCACATACCACACCATTTAGGGAGGCAGTACACTAGCATTTGGGGGATCAGGAAGAGTTGCATGGAGAAGGTGGTGTCCGAGCTCAGTTCTGAAGAAAATCAAGAAGCCTGTAAGGTAGCGAGAAGGGCATCATAGGCATAAGAGATGGCCAGCATAAAGGCAGTAGGGAGCCAGTGCAGATTATTGAGTAGAGGCCTGGCGTGATCACACCTGTGCTCAAGGAAGGATTTGTGGGGAGAGGCTTGAGGCAGGGGCTGTGCCTCCTTCTCGGGCCAGAGGCTCCAGGACCCAGTGCATCAGTCTCCCTTTCCCTGGGGCCCTCGGAATCGAGCAGATGAGAACAGCCCCGCTCAATCTTCCCTCCTCAGGGGGCCCCTATGGGGCAGTTGGGGTGGACCTGGCTTTTGAGCAGCTGCTGGGCAGGATCTTCAGCGATGACTTCATCACCACCTTCAAAACCAAGCGCCCAGCGGCCTGGGTGGACCTGACCATTGCCTTCGAGGCCCGCAAGCGAACAGCCGGGCCGCACCGCGCCAGCCCCCTCAACATCTCCCTGCCCTTCTCCTTCATCGACTTCTACCGCAAGCAGCGGGGTCACAACGTGGAGACGGCCTTGCGCAAGAGCAGGTGGGGCCGGGGGCCCAGGAGGCCATTACTTCCCCACCCTGGGCACAGCTGAAGGCAGGGGACAGGGGAAGAGCTGGAGATGTGCTCAGAAATCTTGGGGAAGAGGCAGAGAGAGAAGAGGGAAGGAGAAGGAGGACGAGCCGTTTGGACACTGGATTTAATCAGGAACTGGGTTCCAATCCCAGCTCTACCACCCATGACCTGGGGTAAATCACAGAACCTCTGGGGCCTCAGTTTATCATTCTGTAAAACGAGGTTGGGCAAGCTGGCCTCTAAGCTCCCAGTCAGGTTAGACCGCTACTTCTGTGATCCTAAATGACAGGCAGGCAGGGGGTTGGCCTCAGAATTGGGTGGAGGTGACGGAGGAAGGCTATGGGGGCGCCCTTCTGGGAGCTGATCCTCTCCCCATACTCACTCCCCTAAGTCAGCTGCTGCGGCGGCAGAGGAAACAATGGCTCAGTGCCATCTGCCTTGTGTCCCAAGGTCAGGGTCCAGGAGGGCTGGGTACGACAAAGCCCCCTCTGCCTCCTGAAATGGTGTCCCCCTCACTCTGGCATCATCCTTCCCCTGCAGCGTGAACTTTGTGAAGTGGTCCTCCCAGGGGATGCTGAGGATGTCCTGCGAAGCCATGAATGAGCTGTTCCAGCCCACCGTCAGCCAGATCATCAAGCACATAGGTGAGAGGGGCACGGGGGCCTCAGAATCTTGAACCAGAAGGGGGATTGGCTCTTTTGGTTTTTCTGGCCTCAAAAGGAAATTGTGGTACGGTGAAATAGTACTGGCTTAGGAATGCAGGAAACCTGGGTGCCACAGCTGGGTGACCCTGGACAAGTCACCTTCCTACTATCTGGGATGGTTTTCAGATTAGTAAAATGGACAAGGCTGGACTAGATGGGCATAACTAAGGCGACGGTCCCTTCGGGATGTTCTGAGATGCTTTCTAGTCTGTGCACTAAGGCCCTTCCAATGTTAACATCCTATGTTCTAGGGACCCTGCCGGATCTGGCCTTGTGTAGACTAAGGGTCTTTCCTGATCGTACATTCTATGACTTAAGTCAGTTCTCAGCTAGCATTTATTAAGCACCTACTGTGTGCCAAGCACTGGGATGCAAAGAAAGGCAAAAACAATCCGTGCTTTCAAGGAGCTCACAATCTAAAGGCCAGCATGGACACTCGGTCCTAAGGGGCCTCTCGGCTTTCATATGCTATGTTCTAATATTCTTTCTAGCTTTGAGCTGTTATATTTTAAAATACCTTCCTGATAGTACATTCTAAAGCCTGACATTCTTTTTCCTAAGAGCCCTCTCAGCTCTGACATCCCCTGTTCTAAGGCCCCTCCCAGCTCTGATATCCCCTGTTCTAAGGCCCCTCCCAGCTCTGACATCCCCTGTTCTAA